TTCTCTAATTTGGGGAATATTTTTGTAATTTTTGGTAAAAAGTGATATTTTTGACTTCTTGTTAAAACCCAAAAGTTCAATTGCTTTGATATTACATATATAGATACTACATGTAGACCTTTCTCAGATTTGTTCATTTCGTGATGATATCTTCAATTCTCTAATTTTGGTGAATATTTTTGTCATTTTTGGTAGAAAGTGATATTTTCGACTTCTTGTTAAAAACTGTAAGTCCGATTGCTTTGATACTATACATATTGTTCATTTTCTAAAGATGTCTTCAGTTCTTTAATTGAAATGTGCATTGCTAACAGCGGAGCTATCTCAGCCGATAGGCTGCTTGTTTTGTTTTTTCATATAGCAACATAGATCCTAGTGTAATTATATTTATCATAGAGCTGATAAAAAAAACTGTTATTTGGGAAGTAGTGTTATAGAGCATTATTTATAAGATAAACAAAGAAATGTCTATGAGTCAGCAAAGAATCTCTGCTCTGCCTTTTTTTAGCCTCTAGTGATTGTGTCTGAAATAAAAAAAAAAAAAAACATAAAAAAAGATGTAATAAGAAAATCCAAATGATTTTAAGTCTCCGTACCAGTATTAAATATTCTGTTTTACATTTTATGTCTGACATAGTACAAAATCTTTTTCTTATCCTCATTATTTTTGAAACTAAGGTAAATTAATTAAATATGGTAACTCTCTTTTAAATTTAAATAGCAATTTTTGGATAATAAATGTTGTCAATTTCACCAAATACTCTGAATCTATTGTTCAAATAAGCTATCTCAGGAAGAGGTTTGAGACTTGTATTTGGCTAATTAATTTAACATGTCTTGGCATCAGGATTGTGGTAGGGGTTAGGTAGGTATACTGTATACCTAAATCCTAAGACCCTTTTTTCTTTAAATTAACTTCAATATTAATTTGAGGATTGACCCGTTCTTGAATCTCTAATCTTCAAAATGCTTTTTAGGGATTTCCATTAATAGTGTCACAAGAGGTTTTAGAATTCTGTTAGATTAAATCAAAATGACTAATAATAATAATAATAATAATAATAATAATAATAATGTTTTAGTGTTTAGAATGGCATCAATTTTTTGGTAGAAAATGTTGTTTGCTTCAAAATTAAATTCTTAGAAAAATACAAAAATATATTCCCCATAATTTCTAGTAAAATTGCATTCAAATCGTCCTTTTTTTATTGAAAGTCAAACTAGGTCATTATGCCACTGGCAAAATACGTTAGTTTTCCCTAACAATGGCAATCTGGTATTTTGTGAATGACCTTGGATGA